TGATGCTCGCCCCAAGATCACACAATGTCTTGCTTACCATTAAATTTCCAATCTCACATGGAATGACAAAGCTTCCTGGATCCTTCAATTTGGGAGGTAATTTTTGTTGAATGATTGCACTACACTCCTCTGTAAGCATTATGGTTTCATCCTCCTGTAGCTTCCTTTTTCTTGACAACAAGTCCTTCATAAATTTAGCATAGCTTGACATTTGCTCCAATGCATCAGCAAATGGGATATTAATGTGGAGCTTCTTAAAGACATCAAGAAATTTTGCAAATTGCATCTCTTGTTCTTTCTTCTTCAACCTTTGAGGGAATGGAATAGTAGGAACCTATTGTCTCATTTTACCCTTTTCACTCTCTTGACTTTTCTCCCCCTCATTCTCCTCTTCACAATTTTTCTGCTCTTTTTTTTAATTCCCTATCACAATCTCCTCTCTTTGTTCTTTTCTCTCACTACCCATCTCACTCCTCAATTGAATTGAATTGCCTTACATTGTTCTTTTGGGTTGGTAATGGTGTCACTAGGAAATGTTCCAGGAGATCTCTTTGAGATTTGTCGTGAAAGTTGACCAATTTGGTTCTCCAAATTTCTGATTGAAGCTTCCTGATTCTTGAAATTTGTCTTTGCCTCATTCATGAAATTAGAAGTTTATTCCACAAATGTTGAGGTTTGCTCAGTTAACTTCTCTAAAGCTCTCTCCAAAGTAAACATCTTATTTCCTTGGTTGTTAGATTATGGTTGATATTGATATGGAAGCTTTGGCTGACTGGATTGATTCGATCCCCTCTAAGGTTGGTTTGATGGGCTTCTCCAATTTGTGTTGAAATTGTTAGCAAACTGATTCTAATGTTAGCCCATTGCATTCACACCTGCACCTCTTGTTGAGTGACTTGACATTCACCATTTTGATGCATTCCTCCACAAAAATCACATGTTAAAGGTGTTGTTTTCATTGCTTTCACTTGCACATTATCAATCTTCTTAGTCAACTCGGTCATTTGTTATGTTAACAACTTGTTTTGGGCTAGGATAGTATCCAAAGTATTAACTTCTAACATTCCACCTTTTCTATTCTAACGATCAAACTGCATATTCCCTGTATTATTTGCCATTACACTACTACAAAATATACTTTATACGTCGTCATTTAACGTCGGTTATAGCTGAGACGACGTAGAAAGTACTTTCCACGTCGGTTCCAGATGAACCGACGTTGAAAGTTGAATATTAAACACATTCTACGTCGGTTCTTAGTCAATCAACGTAGAAAGTACTTTTTACGTCGGTTCCCATATGAACCGACGTGGAAAGTCGTTTTTTTTTTATTTTTTTCACCCAAAAATTTGAAAATTGTCACTACCAGGATTCGAACTCGGGATTTTAGAATTGGAAACTAATACTCTAACCACTAAACTATTATAATTTCCTGATAATAACTTACAAATAAATTATATTTATATACAAATAAATATATATCCATGTAAATATATATTTATTTGTATATATTTTCTGGAAAGTATTTTTATTTTTTTTCAACCAAAAATTCACTTAAGTTAATGAATTGTCAATGACGACATTTGAACCCAGTATTTTAGGGTTGTAAGTTAATATCCCAACCACTAAACTACTACAATTTTTTGATAATAACTTACAAATAAATTATATTGGTATTTTTTGACCGAGGATGAAAGTGTGATTGACTCTCGCTTGAGTGAAAATATGTTAAAGCTCACGGAAATTCACTCACTCAAGTCCCGCTTGAGCGAAAATTGGTATTTTTCAGCTTGAGAGCGAATAATGCGTTTCCCAAATTTATTTTATATTATTATATAAATAAAATTATAAAGATTATATTATGTCATTAAATTACAAACTCATATAAAGATACCTGCTCACAAATTTAGCATCAAATTTTGAAAACCTACTCGACACACACTTTCACTTTCGAGTGTACCCTCACATTCAACATATAAATATATAACTATATAAATATATCAAAATATATAAATATATTTGTATTTATATATTTATATATTTACACGGATATATATTTATTTATATATAAATATAATTTATTTGTAAGTTATTATCAAAAAATTCCGAGTAGTTTAGTGGTTGGAGTATCGGCCTCCAACTCTAAAGTACTTGGGTTCGAATCCTACCAATGACAATTCTCTTAAAAAATTAATAAACTTCTAAAAAATATAATATAAAGAGATGGAGGACCTAATAAAAATATAATATAAAGAGAGGGAGACTTCTAAATAAATAAAGGGGGTAAAGGGGTTGTAAATAAATAAAAATTATTAATTTAAAAAATTATACTTTCAACGTCGGTTCTAATAAACCGACGTTGAAAGTTACTGGACTTTTAACGTCGCTCGATACAACGTCGGTTGTTGAACCGATGTTGAAAGCCTTCCAGAATCGACGTTGAAGGCTTTATTTGTAGTAGTGTTAACTCAATAGTCTCCAAGGTTTCTGCTGGTGTCTTCAGATTAAATGCTCCTCCACTTGTTGCATCTAACATTGCTCTAAAAGAGGGTACAAGACCATTATAAAATATTTGGACTTGTAACCAATCTGGTAAAGCATGATGTGGACATTTCCTCAATAGCTCCTTATACCTCTCCCAAGCCTCGTACATAGATTCAGTCTCTTGTTGCACAAAAGTAGTGATTTCATTTCTCATTCTTGCTGACTTGGATGGAGGGAAGTATTTGGTTACAAATTTTGTAGTCATATCTTCCCATGTAGTGATGCTTCCTTGAGGTTGTGTTTGAAGCCAGCTTTAAACTTTATCCCTTAATGAGAAAGGAAAAAGCCTCAAGCGGATTGCCTCACTTGAAACTCCATTAAGCTTCAAAGTATCACAGATGGCTAGAAAATTCTCTAGATGAGAATTAGGATCCTCTGCAACTGCACCTCCAAATTGATTTTGTTGGATGACTTGTAGCAATGCAGGCTTGGTTTCAAAATTGTTGACTTGAATAGGAGGTCTCACAATGCTCCCTTGGTAATTATTCACATCTGGCATAGAATAATCAAGAAGAGTTTTCCTCTCTGGTTGTTCTTCTGCCATTGTTGATACATGCTCTTCCTTTTTACTTGATGTCTCTACTTTTCCTTTTTGCTTCTTCTTTCTTGTCTCACTTCTATTATGTCTAGCAGTACGTTCAATTTCTGGGTCAAAAAGCAAAAAAATTTCTGCCACTGTACCTCACATAACAACTTAAAAAAAATACAATATTCTAACAACAAAATTAATGTGACAACAGAAAAAACAAACAAGATAATGAAAACAGAAAAACAAAATAATTAAAATAAAAACAGGTTTGACTACCTAAAAACTAACACTCAAATCTTAAGCGAATTAGATCACTAATATCAATAGAAAAATCAATCCCCGGCAACAGCGCAAAAAACTTGATGAACGTTTGACAAGTGCATCAATCGTTAACGTAGTAATAAAATATCGTCCTCTGGGATTGAATTTGTTGAATACTAGATTCCTAATTTATGTAAGTTTGAGCAATTGAAAATTTGGAAAAAAAAAAAACAAACATAGAATTATAATAAGAACTTTAGTCAAAATAAGATATGTTAGAGAATTGATTTCATACCCTTTCTTATATAATTCCAGTCCTTTCAATTGTGGCAAGAAATGTAATTATCCACTTGAGTTTACCCAGAGTTATTTTACCCCTAATCCCTTAGTAGGCAAAACTATTCATTGAATCCGAACCCTCAATCCCTTAGGTCAGTTACGCCATTCAATAGAATCATGAAAAAACAATAATCTTCTCTATTGCAAACTAATTAGATATATGCCCAATTTCCCAATTGTGACAAACCCTAACCTGTTATATTTAGGATCGTGAAAACCTCCAATCTCCCAATTGTGAAACTGCTCGTGGAATGAACTTGAAAATTATAAATAGAACAATGAGATAAAGAACATTAACTAAACATCAATTGTCAAGAACAAGAAAATATAATTTAGAGTATTACATCAATCCTCTAACAAAAAAAAAAATCAATTATGCATAATGTAAAAATTGCTAAAAAATAATAACTAGAACGTAAACTTCCAGAATGGTTGTCCAGTCCCCCTTTTTCAGTTTCGTTTCACCTTCTTTATAGGGTGTCCCCACGTTTTTTTCTCCACTTGTTGAGGTAGTTACCACTTCTGATAACTGTCTTGAATTTCCACAGGTTGTGGAAAAATCCACAACCCACCTGCGGAACTCTCTAACTTCAACTGTGCATTCTGAATCACAAATTCACAGGTTGTGGAAACATCCACAACTCACCTGTGGAGCTCTCTGACTTTGTGCAATCTTTTGGAGTCTAATTCATAGGTTGTGGAAAAATCCACAATCAACCTGTGGAGCTTTCTGATCTTGATCTTTGCATTCTGGTATCAAATCCACAGGTTGTGGAACATTTCACAAGGTACCCGTGGAACTTGCTGATCTGAAATCTTTCTATCTTGACACCAACTCCCTCCAAACTATGATTTTAAACCTCCAAACACCTATTTACAAGAACAATGCATAAACTAACATGTATGATCCAAAAAAACGATAATGCAAGATGAAATCGTTCCCATAATGCAACAACATATGAATTTAACCTAATTTAATGCATGAATGTAATGATATTTTATCCACTCACTAACCTCTTCCATCTTCGGGGCAACTAGGGACTCATCAAACACCCACAACCCTCAATCACCCACCATTAGAGAACCTTTAGTCAATACAACCACAACAATATCTCAGTCAAGACAATAATCAACAAAGGCAACATCAAACAATCAACAGGTTCCCAATTTGTAATAGTATTTGTATCTTGTTCCCAATTCCTCATTGTATATTTTATAACGATTAATAAAAATTATATATAAAAAAAACTCATTTACTACCTCACCGGCGGTCACCACAGTAAACCCACCATACCACCAGCGACCGCTACCGCACCATCGATGGCCATCATAGCCCAGTCGGGACCTTAATCTCTGTGGTTTCCACCTCATTCATCATCTTTTTCCAGTAGCAAAATCCTTCTCCTTCACCCATTCCCAAATTTAGACTCACACAGTCCTGACTCCCATCTCCTTCTCCTTCACCCATTCCTAGATTTAGACTTACATAGTCTCGGCTCCCATCTCCTTCACCAGAACCCTAACTGCTCATTCTCACCCACCAACCCTAATAGGTGCCTTCAGCCGCAAATCACCCCTTGTCATCGAACCACACCCATTGCTCACCGTGCGCCACCCTTGTGGTTGTTTCCTCTACACCTCACCCTTTATTTTTGACCATTATCACCACTTGAATCCGCGAGCCACTTCTCACCAACCACCGTGAGCCACGACCAGCCATAGCCCATAGTCGGACCCCTCAATCGCCACCATCCACAACTATATTGGTGAGCCAAGTCACCGCAGAACAACTGCGAAAGGAACATCTTATCTCCACCTTCTCCCTAGCCGTGTGCCCCCGCTTTATTGAGTCACCCTCGCTCGTGGCGCTCAAATCTCCACCACGTGTTGTTCTCACCAGCCACTACCCCAATCACCAAGTTCTGCTACTCTCCTTTTCCGCTATTAGGGTTAGAGTAAAGTTAAAGGTAAAAGATGAGGTTGGGCTTAAGAGAGATATGCCCAAAATCTTTAAGGGGGTGAAAAATAACATAAAAGTTTCAAATGGTAATTTAAAAATGTTTTATGAGTTATTGGGCCTAATTTTTTTTTTCTATTTTAAACTGAACAACATAACAAAATGAGTTACAAATACGAAAATATTATTATTATTATTATTAATTTATTTGAATAAAGATAACTTTTTAAAATAATTTAAATTAGTATATCATTATATTGACAATTAAATTATCATTTCTTTTTTCTCGAGTAGTATTAAACGTGCAATATTATCGTTATTATAGTAGTAGTAAAGTATTTCATAAAAATTTAATCACTTTGGTTGCACATCTAATTTGCTTGATATAAAATAATAATAATCACTTCAAATATACTTTTGATTTGATTATAATAAAATATTTAAAAAATATATACATTTTAAATTTAAATATAAATTACAAGTACAATAATTTAAACATTTAAATTACTTTGAATACACTTTCGATTTAATTGTTATTCAAATTATAAAAATGATAATTACTTTATATGTACTTCTAATTTGATTATTACATAATTTTTGGCCTACAACATGAATAGGTAAACAAAAATAAATTAATTATAAATATTTGTAAGAAAGAACTACGTTACTCGATTCTCCATTACACTTGGGGATACGTAGGAGCAGGGAGATGATTTACGTCGAGCTAAAAATATAAAAATATATAATTTTTTATTTTTAGTAACAATATTTAATCAATATAAGTTTGAGGGATAAAATAGAAAATTTTAAGATATTTAAATTTTTTATGTCTAATTAAAGGTTACCATTTTTAGAACGGATGTTGTAAGGTGTTAATACCTTCCTTACATATAATCGACTCTTGAACCCAGTCTTTATTTCGTAAACCACTTTTTTTTTTCTTTTTAAAGGTTTTTTCCGATATTTTTCCTTAAAATAAATATTGGTGGCGACTTCATTGTTTTTCTTTCATTTAGAAACTTAATTTTGTCGTCCAGTCGCGATTCTAATTGCGACATAAGGCACATATTGATCTTAGAACATTTTGACGTCTACTATGGAACATGTAATTTGCTTTCTATTGCATAATATAAGATAGATGAGGGGATCTAAAACGAATACCTAACATAGTGGGAAAAAGGAACCTCCATCATTTTAAAGTGATGAAAACGATGGATGACTCAAAGCAACAGAATGAAGAGATTCACTGACACTATAAGAAGATCATTAATTACCGAAGGATATGTAGTCATCGGAAAATGAGTGATTATCGACGGACATTACCGACGAATTTAAAGTATTTGTGGAATTTGGTCTTACCGATAGATATATTCATCAGTAAATGACCAATTAATTACTGACGAATATATCTGTCGGTAAATTAACAATTAGTTACTGACAGATATGAAGTCGTCGAAAAATGAGTGATTACCGACGAGTATTACCGAGCGAATTTAAAGTATTTGTAGAATTTGGTCTTACGAGACGAAAATATCTGTAAGTAACTCGAATAATTAATTACTGACGGATATATCCGTCACTAAATTAACAATTTGTCGATAAATTAACAATTAGTTACCGAGGAACATTACTAACGAATTTAAAATATATTTTTAAAAATCAACATTAAATTAAAAAAATTAAATATTTGTTGGAAACCTCAGCCACGACACCTTCACGCACTGACTCTCTCGGTCACACCTCCCAGCTCTAATCATCTCCTTTAATCCCTCCTTTCATCTTTTCCTTCCTCGCCATCAACTTCTCAAAAGAGTCACTATTACATACCTATTCATCTCTCCCCTATACTTGTGCCCTCATTTGACCTTCACTAATCCAAACTCTTTTTCATCTCCACTCCTCCTCACCATCACCATTTCCAACTTCCCTATTTGCACCCATCTCCTTTTTCTAGAACCCTAACCGCTTATTTTCGCCCACCACGCCAAAATCAGGAGCCATCGTGAGCCTAGGCGAACTACCCTCTTCGAATCCTCGTCGTAGCGCCTCCTCCTTATAGCCCACCTTCATCTCACCCTAGCTCACCCCCATCCAAGTTGCCATCCTCATCTCCCACGGCCAGGCCCTCCCCATCTCAATTCCAGGTTAACCCGCACCTCACCCACTGCACAACCCTAGATCCTCGCGGCGCAACCATCTTCATTACGGGGCACCTCCCCTCACTGAAGCTACGAACCCAGTTCAAACTACGACGTACCATTGAAACCCCTATAGCCAAACCACCATGCCAGCCACCACGAACCATCAGCAGTTTGCCTTCAGCCACTCTGTTGTAACCAACAATCATTGTGCACCACCTAAGTTGCACCAGCGCCGTAGCAACCACCGCGACGCCCTCAGCGGCCACCGTGAACTGTAGGCTAGTGATTTGATGCAAGGTCGTTGACCAACAACTGAGGTGGTTCCTTGATTTTGGTTTCTTTTTCTTTAATTGGTTCAATTTTCTTTTATGTTTTGGATGAACTGATTTTGTTGGGCCGATACTAGATTCTATTTATACATGTTTATTTTTGTTGGCTATGACTAATTTATGCATTTGATGCAGGGCTCGATCAGTTTAGATCTTTAACCGTTGGGTCTGCTTGGGATTATTTTGATTTAAGTTTGATCTGGGTTTGTGGGATTAAAAACAGTAGGGTCTACTATTTTGTTCACTCTGATGTTGGGAAAGGATAAATCAAATTCTCCTTCCATTTTTTGATGTTCTATATTGTGTAGAGGATTTAGTGAGTTAATATCTAGTGTAGAATAGGATGCATTCATCATAAACATTTTGATTCCCATATTAACAAGGCTATCTAGATCCAAATGTAGAGCATAAGATGTTGCATTGGCATTAGCTTTGAAAGATTCCATTATTTGCAACGTGCAACACCCTGTGTATGCTTTCTAATTTTAATTACATAGATTTCTGGAGTTTAAAGTCCCCCACAACATATTTGGCATGGAAATCTGAATAATTCTCTAAATGAGTATAAGATAATGCTATAGTTTGGTACTCTACCAGCATTTGAGCAAAGATTGTATAGTTTTTTGAATCTGAAAAATGTCGTTTTATAGGCTTCAAAGCTCTCTATGGCTTTTGAATCTGGAAGAAATTAGGATTTTATCGACGAATATTTTCGACAGAAATATCCATTGGTAAATTACCTATAACAATTTCCGACGGATATATCTATCAGTAATTATCTACAACATTTTCGACGGATATTCGTCGGTAATTACCTACAACACTTTTCGACGGATATATCCATCAGTAATTACTGACAAACTATTCAAATCTGTCGGTAATATTTACCAAATTTTCGACAAATTCTTTTCTATCGGTAAATCCGTCGATAATATATACTTACCAACGAATTTTTGTTGTTATCGACGGATTTTATCAATCGATATTTTTTGTAGTGTGAAAGGTCCAAGGCAAAACAATATTAGCTATATTAAAAAAATACAAACTTCAATAGGTAATATATTTACTATGCCATTAAATTTAGTTTCACTCAATTAATTAAGTTTGAAAATCATAAAGTGAGATTTTTCTTATAAAAGTGGTAAAACACATCATGTCCTCTTGGCCTACATCAACAACTCGGTAGGTTAAAACACTAATAGAAGTTACTAACAAGAATTACTTACGAATAAAAATAAATATTTTATTATGTGTCTTATATATAAGAAATGGAGAAAGTTATTTAAAATTAAAAATAAATTATTTATATAAGCAACTCTAACCAAATTTTAAATAGCTCATCTATAAAACTCATAATAAAATATTAAATTTTATTCCTAATTAACTCTTGTCGAGAATTACCTTTAAAATATATCCTTATTAATCTCTTATAATGGGTTATCCTACCATTTAAGCCTAAATACTTGTCCGGTTGGTTGAAATATTGGTTGAGTCTAATTTTTATAATCTATAATTTATATCATCTAATTAGTATATATATGAGATTTGTTTAATATTTTTTTATAATTGTTTAAAATATTATATTATTTTTTATTAAATGTATTATTATATATAAAATATTTTAAAAAAAATATTTATTATGATATTATATATTTAAAAATTAATATAAGTTACGTTACTCTTAGTAGATATATTTTTTAAAATTATTATTATATTTTAAAAATAATATAATATTATTAAAATATATATAATTATTATAATTTATATATTAATAAATTTATTTTTAAATTAAAATTAATTTTATTGATAATTTAAATTTTAAAGATACAATTCAAATTTAATATTTTACATTTGGTTAACATAGAAATTTTTTTTACGAATTTGACTTCTCTATTAGTTTTTTATACTGAATCTATACCAAAAAATACAATCAAATTAGGCTGATGAGTAAAATTTTGTACTTAACCTTTTTATTCCCTGTTTTAACAATACTAGGTCTATTGCGATGAACAAGTTATATAAAACGACATTCGTTCTAGTAAGATGCGAGACGGATCTGGGAAGTTATAAAACGACATTCGTTTTAGTGAGATACGAGACGCATCAGGGAATAGAGTAAAAAAGCGATGGTTGAACTAGAGATAATAATATTTTTTTTTTTAAAATGAATAAAGCAAAAATAAACAAATACTGCCCTAGAATATTATGTAATTGTAAGCCATACATAGAGCGTCAAAAACTGTGGTTCGTGAGTGGAGGTTTGTTTGTTGTGGTTTGTGAGGATTCTGAAGTAAAATCGGCGAATCTCATTTTCGAAGCTGAATTTGATTGAATAGTGAATTCTGACCAAGCAAAAGATGGGAGACATAAAGCACGCGGCCACCGTCAACGACGATTTGCTTCTCAAAAACTTCTTCGCCGAAGTCAGCGAAGTTGAGAGGGACAACGAAGTGCTCAGGTACTTCTCTCTCTCTTTCATTGTGCGTGTATTTTGCTGTGTGATTGTGTGCTTCTGAATTTATTTTTTTGTTAACCTCTGTTTATTTCGTGTATTTTTTGTATGTATGTGTGTCGATGCTATATGTGTAGGTTAGGGTTTCTGGATAGTTATTTCTGTTTAACTATTGTATCTGTTGGAGAATTTATGTTGTGGTTTTGGAGTGTTTGCTTTTCGAATGCTTTTGATTTGGATCGCCGAAGCTTCTCCAGCTGAGATTTTTGCGTGATCCAAAAATTGTTTCGCTTGATTGGTTGGAATGTGGATGATATGCGACTGTGTGAGGATGGAAATATGTGATTGGCATTTTATTTTGCTTTTGTTGTTGAATTTTAGTCTTTCATACATGCGATATTTTTGTCAGATTTTTCATAAAACTGGTTAATCTTAGTATTAACAAGAACTGAGCAACCTTTGGCCTGTAGTAATGTTTTTTTACTGGGAAGCATCAAATTCCTTCACATGGGTATATAATTGGCATTTGATTGCAACTTGAGAGAATTATTTGAAGTGTAGATAACGCTAGCATTGTATGCTTTGTGTTCTTCGCTGGTTTGAATAAATTGAGTATTCTCTGTTAGGGAAGATGCAACAAGTATGCTATGAGGCCTGAAGGATGAAACTGAAATCGGTAATTGATGTTTCGTTAATGATGAACAATGGAAGAAAGATCCCAATGATAGTTTAGAAGCTAGAAACAAGGGAGCAAGCTTGCGTAGTTGTGAATTTTACACAAATATATTCTTCAATTTGCAATTTTAAAGATATTTTTCTTGGTTCTCATTAGTTATTACCAAATATTTATGTTGAAAACAAAAAAATTTGTTATTGTTTCAACTTTATCAACATTCTCTGGTTTTTTATTTTCTTCACAGGATTCTCTCTTGTTTTAAGCTGAATCCATATGAGTATCTAAACCTACCATTTGATTCATCAATTGACGATGTGAAAAAGCAGTACCGCAAGGTAATGTCTTCCTTGTACCGTGGGCTGTTTCGAGTCTTCTGCTGGCTTCTCTTATATCATACTTTTGCCAATCTTATGTAGTTATCATTGATGGTTCACCCTGACAAATGTAAGCACCCACAAGCAAAGGAGGCTTTTGGAGGTACATGAATGCATGCTTTATGATAGCCTTGCTAGAATTAAATATTTTTATTTGTTTATCTTTCTCTGTTACGCATTTTTGTTAGTTGTCCCACATTTGGTATGAACATGGCCGTAGTACTCCTTATAAGACAGGCAATCCTCACCTCGTGAAATAGCTTCTGTGGTTAGGCCTAAGTTTATATCTACCATGGTACGAGAGCCTACTTAATCTTGATATTGAGCCACATGTAGATGTCTAGTGGTGTGGTAGTTGTGTTAAGATGTCTCACATCTGCCAGGAATATAGACAAATTGGTCCTTGCATTAGACTAAGATATATTCCCTCTTGAACTATCTTTTGGGGTTGTGTTTGGCCTCATTCTTTTCAAATCGAACTATTTTTAGTTACTTTTATTGTTTTGAACATGACTTTTTGATTAACTATCCAGAGTCCTTAAAGTTGTTGCCGTGATCATTAGTCATAAAATGGTAAAACCTACTAAAGTTCTACATACCTCTTCAATCAAAGACATAATTTATTAAGGGAGAATAGCTTGAGTCCCAAGACTTGTAATTTCCTTCCAAAAGACAAATAAGTACATAAATGGATTTAGTCATGGATTACTAAAAGAATAATTATTGATCGAAAAACTATGATATATTGGCATATATGATGAAAAATAGGCTTCAAAAGTTCAAGTGATTATGTGTGCCTGTATGAATACATCCTTTTTCTCACACTTAGCCTTAAGATACATATCACTGAATTCATACAATTCTTTCAACATACTTTTGTACTTAAATTGTTTTGTATATTTACTACTTTGTACTATCTGCGTTATCAACTTCAGCTTAATCCATTACCATAAGTATTGTATTGTAGATGTCATTCAACTGCTATTTTGTTTGATATCTACCCCTTTACTGGTTAATACAACTACAATATTGGAGAGTTCAAAAGCTGGACCCTATTTCTTTATTCTGTGTGATCAAATTGATGTTGTGTTTTATATGTGATTTCTAACGTTATGATCTAAAAATAGTAGTTTTTAAGCCATAGGATTCATTTTTTATTTTTATTTTTTGCATTTTTTTTAATGTTTACTGTGCTATTTACTTGAATGCAGCATTAGCAAAAGCTCAACAGTTATTACTGGATCAAAATGAAAGAGATTACCTTCTTAGCCAAGTTAATTCAGCAAAAGGTTAGTTTATTTTGTCTATTGTGTTTGGCATCTTGTTATTATGTGTCTTAAAGGTGCTTATTCTTTCCACTAAGGTTTGTGGCTTGATCTGAATTATTGTGAAGCCTGGTTTACTATCTTTATCAGTGTAATAGATAAAGTAGTGTTTTTTTGGCTCATTGCAAACACCAAATTTGTGACATGGAATGAAGCTATCTTTTGTTGTGTTTTTTCCCCCATTTATCTTATTTTTCTTTCTTTTTCTGCGACCTCTTTCTCTGTAGAGGAAAAGCCTGATTCATGGGAAAGTGTGGTACGTATTAAAAAAAATAAACTAATATTTTTTCATTGATGTGAACTGCAGAAGAACTTAGAGCAAAGAGAAAGAAACAGCTGAAGAAAGATACAGCTTCAAAAATTAAGTCATTGGTTGAAGAGGTATGTGTAATATTACTAGGGTTCTTTTGTAATGTTAAGATCTTTGTCACACCAGAATTTGCAACCTAGAATTTTAGAATAGTCTACCTCTGTTTGAGTGTATTGCTTTTTTGCTGTGTCTGTCTATGGCACCCTAGTGATCTGATGATCTGATTACACAATTATATGATTACCAGACTTAGTGTATTGCTGGTAGTTAAGAGACAAATACCCTTGCTTTTTAAGAAATTCATTTTTGTTTTTCTCAGGGAAAATATGATAAACAATATGAGCAATCAGAGGAATTCCAGCAGGAGCTCAAGGTTAAAGTTCGTGAACTGTTAACGGAACAAGAATGGAGGAGAAGAAAAATGCAAATGAGGGTATGCTCTAATCAACTCCCACCCCCCACCTACCTACTCATATTCCAAATTTTCATGTGTCTTTGAAAATGTCAGTAACAAGTCAGCGACATCACTTGGAGACTATTTATACATTTTAAGTTATTCAATGTTATTTAGATATCTGAGGAAGAAGGCAGATTAAAAAAGGATGAAGAGGAACAAAAAGAAATGTGGAAAAGAAAGCGTGAACATGAGGAGGAATGGGAAGGAACACGAGAGCAGAGGGTTAGTCTTCTACAACTTCATTTTATTCAGCACACCTTTGGCTGTAGCATTTTTTTTTCTGATGTGTTCCTTTGAAATCTTAATAATGAAGCTATAAAGTATTCCAAAATATGGCAAAAGTTCTGTTCATGTTCTACATATGCTTTCTGGGTATCTGTGTTATGCTTATTTGTATGGTGCCACTTCGTAGTGGACTCAGTAGAAAATGATTAAACGACCTGGGAGTGATTACTAGTTTTAGTCACAATTGCATGAACAGCCTCTCCACTCACGGGAAATGATGCATATTTACAATACAAGGCTTCCTTTTTTTAATTCCGGCATTTTAAGCCTACACCTGTCTTTTACTTGCTCTGAAGCTGTTTATACATTCTCATGCTTTTAATCAGCTGTTTAAAAGGTAATCTGAATTTTATTGGCATGCTATATTGCTTCTTGCATTTTAAGCCTCCACCTGTCCGACTTGCTTGGAAGCTGTTTGACTAATTATGCTTTCATCATCTCTTAAAAATAATCTCAATTTATTGGCATGCATTATTTTTATTTTCTTATAAAAAATGTATAAATTAACACAATTCATCATCAGGTATCCAGTTGGAGAGATTTTATGAAGGGTGGAAAGAAGGTGAGATATCTCATTATATACTTTGACTATTCCGTTTGACTTACACCTTGTAACTAGGATTAATAATTGCTTCAAATTTTGTATGTTTGCAGAATAAGAAAGGGGAAATTCGCCCCCCGAAGCTTAAGACTGAAGATCCCAACAAATCTTACGTTCAAAGGCCTGTAAAAAGAGGTTAGGGGTAGGGGTTCTTCCATTGTGTTAGAAAATGACAGCAATCAATTAAACCAGGAGTTCGGGAGAACTCATTCACGCAAGGCTATATCTTTTGTATCACCTCGATTGATACCTGTAAACAGATTTATGTTAATGGAATGTAGACCTCCAGCGAATGTATCCTTTTTTAGTGGGATGCTAGGACGTTACATCCCAATACTGATACATAGGAATTATTAAGTTTGAAAAACAAATCTGTAACCGCCTGTCACCCGCAGTGAAATGTTAGGTTAGGACGTGTTTTTTGTACAATCATAAATTCACGTATGCAGTTCGAAATAAGATGAAAAAACATAGTGACAATACAATTGACGCAGACTATCCGTTATTTTGTAACATATGGATGCGTAACTTGTACTTGTAAGTTAAATACTCGTTCAGTTAGATTTTTGGCACCGTAATATCAAGAGTAACTGGAAGCTAAATGGAGTTTGACCAAAATAAATTACAGAAGTCTAACAGTGCAAAATAAATTACAAAATCTACTATCAAAATTCACATTCTTCGTAGGACTATTTATCCACGCCAAAATTAATCGTACAAAGATGAAAATTACGGAGCAACACCTATGATACAAGAACCTCCAAGAAAGATTTCTGATTTATATATCTCACCATCACATTATAAAAAAAATAAAACCCTCCTGTCCTGATTAACAAAACCCCAACAATAGCCTAAGGGCAAATAAAAAATATGTAAGAATTGAAGAAAAAAAAATAGCCTCCATGACAGAACCATAACCTTGATTTCGTAACCTATGCTCAATTTACAAACGAGTGGGGGAACTGTGGATTGCGAACTTCTAACTTGGTCAAAGTAAACGTAGCGTGGCTACCAACCTTGCATAACGTGTATCTTACCAAGGCCTGCTGATGGAGTAAAGTGAGAACCAAAACTTTTGCTGTTGATAGGTTCGGGGACTCCCATAAATGGCATCATGCTATTTACAAAACACTAAAAGAAGGCTGATAGCACGAGCCAGTAAGGCATAAATATTACGGACATTCTTTAATGATCATTATATCCAAGCCAGAGAACCTCGGTCATTTGTTACTGGGGGGCGGCCTCTAGTTGGTGTTGGTGGTCTGTTAGCATTCAACTCCTGTGTTCATTAATAAACATTTGTTTATTTTATAACAAAAGCGCCACAATACTGTGAAAATGACAACAGCTCAAAATTATTACTAATTACGTATCTGCAACACTAATTATTACACAACACTACTATCTAATGAAAAACATTTGAAGCAGTACCTGCATCCATGTATCTTCAATGTGACGTTCTGGTGACGTTTCTGGTGAGGAAATTGCTGGTGGTAATGGATGAATAAGTTTAGGGACCACGACAAGATCTCTACCCAAGACTAATATTGCCCCGGCATTATTTGCGGTACCTATTGGAGCAAGCAGTGGCAACATTTAGAAGGGAACATGATCAAAGGAGTAGGAAAGTGAAATGCAAAACTCAGTGACATACCACAATAATTTGTAGCTGAAAAAAGTGTGATCAAATGTCCTTGGGCAAAACGCTCAAACCCATCCATCACACATTCATGTGCACGAACAATCAGTTGAAGATCATTGTTGTTGCAAAATTCCATCACCCGATCAGGCTATAGTACCAAATCATAATTAAACGAGCACAAGTGCATATGTTCAGAATATAAGGTGAGATAAGTGATGAAGTACGTAAGTCATTCAACAAGACCATGTGGCAAATAACAAGTGCTGGCATTCATTAGAAGTGTCTTGCCAAGGATTTCTAAAATTATCAAATTACATCACACAAAACAAGTATTAGGATATTATTTTCTTTTACTATTTTTTTTTATTTCATCTACAAACACGGAAACAACCAAATTACTAAAGAAAAATGATAAATAATTTCCAAAATGACAACAGGTAAGGAGCACCCACCCCAAAAGTAACTAATCCAGGACCTCTGGCATTAGGCCGTAGTCCTTCCACACTGTCATTCTCTGTCGGATCAGACCTGGAAACAATTCATAGTGTTATCAACCATAAGGATGCCAAGTACAGTCACACATGCAATAGTACACATGAACTAACCACAACAGATCCATAAGCACAATTGATCCCGCTTCCATTGGAATTGGACGCTGAATGTTTTCAATCTGCTCTACATGATTTATTGATCGACCAATACCACCATGCATGCAAATAATTTTTTTCTCAATTAAAGCTGCTAAAGGAAGCCAATTAAACAGCTTGTTTATCCTGTGCCAGGTCCAAATTCCGTCTCTCTCACCCTGATCGACAACAAACATGATTGTTGATTACCCAATATAAACAAGACATAATTTATGGTACATGAAATTCCTTACCATCCTCTCTATGCACTCAATTCGAAAACCAAAGAGAGCGTTAATATCCGCAGCTTCATGGTTTCCACGAATTAGATGTACGTTGTTGGGATACTCAACCTGCGTTATTCACAAAACTACGCATAAATATGAGGCCATCAAACTGCCAAAAAAAAAAAACAGAGAAAGAAACCTAAACAATGAAGAGTACCTTCAAAGCAAGAAGAAGGGTTATAGTTTCCAAGCTATGCTGTCCTCGATCAACATAATCTCCTAGGAATAGATAATCGATATATCTGATAGTCATTTATACAAAATTAGCCATAGAGAAAATAAAATGCCTAAATAACTATAGTTATAATAGCCTTGTTAATATTATTGGAGTAGATTAGATAGAAAAAAATGTTAAAAATGAAGTATTTTACTAATGAGATTGAATATTATTTTATAAACAATCTAACTCTTGTATTTATACTAAAACTCTGTATGTGAAAAGACATTACAAACTATTGGCGAACTTCAATTAGTGCTTGTGTACATAGCCAAGTAAATTTTCCTAGATCCGGATCACGCTTGTCATGCAATTGATTTGATTCTAGTGTAGTCCCATCTTTAAAATCGACCAATCAATCATTGCATGAAATCTTTCAGTATCAATAATAGTCACTGTAAACTCACATATTAACACAGCAACTTTCTTGTTTATCTTAATAAAAAACGATCTAATACGCTGAAATATAATTTAAATATAAAATTAAAATGAAATAAAATCTAGATAAATATTGTAGTAAGGTTGCTTCACTGACCAGTTGGTCATAGTTTCGAATCCAGGAACAACCTTTTTGCATATAAAAGCAACGACTTCCACCCATATCTTTATACCAAGAAGCTTTCTATCACCAGGGTACATTAGTTTTATATCATTGCAGTAAGGGAATGTGTGAATCATGCATTTCTCTGCTAACTAGGCATACAAGACAAATTATTGTGTGCAGCCAACAACCACAGTAGATTAGAATGGGGCAATTGGGGGAAGAAAGAAGCATAAAAAAAAATTAGAAAATCAATGAGACATTTATATAATATAAATCAGTCAAAAACTGCTAAAAGATCTCAACAATGCACCAAGTGTATACAAACTACAACAACAAAATGGTGGTAAATATAGAAAGCTGGTTGTGATTTAGATTGACCATCTTTTACATCAATAAGCATGCCCAAATACAATAATTACCCTATTGACCCATAATAGCCTGCCAATTGAAATGTTGTCACCATCAGTGGCAAAATTCCCTGGACCATTGGGGCAATTTATTTTAAAAAAATTAATATTATTGTCATCTATTTTTATATCAATATATGAAATTGTCACTTGATAGTAGGGGTCAATATATAAATTTAAGAGGTGCAAAACATGAGAATTTAATGTATTTAGTTGTAGTTTTAAAAAAATGTCAGTGTGCAACTGCCGTCTCTCATCTATATATAGCACCACGATGCACACTATAACAGTATCCATTAATTACAAATAACCATCAATGGAAGCTATGAAACTTACGCAATGTCACCAGCAGTTGATGGTGAACCATACTCGTCAAAAAGGCGCATGAGATCACCAAACTGTCCATGTAGGTCACCAAATATCTTAATTGGTGCCCTGAGTTGTAAAACACTTGGTTCACTTGAAAAAATCCGCTCAGCACTGTCACAAAGATCAGCAATTTCATTACAATCCAAGAAAAACTGCCGCCGTACTGGTGGTTTCCATCCCCGGGGCTTTAAGAGGTGTGCAATGACCTGTAAGAGTGAGGAAAGTCCATCAAAAACAGATCTGAATCCAAATACAAGACAAAAGAAGCATGTTTAGCAATCCAATAAAAGAGAATATAAAGGTAAACCATGACAAGACACCCCCCCCCCCAAAAATAATAATCCGAAAATTGCAGTGTGGAGTAAGCAATGGAAATGAATGAAAGATCAATAAACATGACCAACTAAGTGTCAGACTAAAAAATAATTGTCTATTATTAATATGAAATACTATTATTCTGTGTGCATTTGATAACTCGTTGTATAGATGAATCTGTACCTTTTTTGGTACACTATTAATAGACATCTGCCTATCTAATAATTTCCTGGCAGCAGTTGCACTTTCTGGAGTCCCATAACTAACCCGCCTGCCTTCATTTTCAAATTGATCAATTGAAAGCTGTCTAACCATGCCACCTAATGCACCACCAGTCTCTGCAGCAACAACTACCTGTAGAAAATTCAACAAATAAGCATAAATATATTATGTAACTGTACACAGAATACTTTTTCCCTGTTAGTGAAAATGTATTACGTACAGCTCTGTGATGCAGCCGAACTCCCCAAGGGGTAATGTTATTTGAACTTGCCGAATCAGGCTTGATCAAGGAAGATGTTTGTTTCCCACTTGGGGTAGCCTCCGCCCCACGGTCTCTGTCAGGCACTTCGGCTTCTCCATTTTCCTGTCGTGCCTTGGCAGCAGCCAGTGCTGCACTGATAGCTTCAGCTTCTGCAGTTGATGCTTCAACCAGATACTCCACACCTTTAGCAGTTCGCCTGTTCAAAGTCCTTGCAATGAATGAAGCCAAACTATAACATTATTTATACTTTGCCCAATAAAAATGAAAACAGCTAATGTACCGAGGTCCCTGAAGCATGGCATTTTCAGTGCTGATATCAGTATAAATGTCACCATTCATTGGGGGTGCAACTGGATTTCCCAAAACAACAGAACCATCAGCAGCTGCCTCAGGAATTGCTTGTCTCGTTCTATCATCAACAAATCCATATCGTCCAGGTAAGCGCCCTGCTTGTACATTAGATGCAGCTGCAGCTGCAGCAGCATGTGAAGCAGCAGCTGTTGTTTCAGCAGCTGCAAGATCTTCAGCAACAAGTAGATCATCTAGCAAGACTCCTGAAGCATAAACACAATACATTAGTGTGTCCAGCTCTTGACATTATGGATTTGTTAGATGATTAAACAATCATACAGTAAAATTCAGAGTATAAATATTTACCAAAAACAATTACAACAAACATAAAGCTAGTGCATATTTCAGATGAAATCATACATTTCAGCTTGCAAGATGAACAGCCAGTACAGGGCCTTTTCATGAACAGTAGTAATTGGAGCAAAACTTTTATCCACTTGATCAGAAGGAAAATAACCTTCATTGTTAGGCCGTGTTTGGCCCTGCTTTTTTTTTTATGGCTCTAAAGAAACTTTAAAGTTAAAGCTCAATATAAATAAACACTTTCAAACTAAATGGTGTTCGAAAGTTTTAACTTAAAAAGCTCGTAAATTAAAAATTTTGTTTTTGTCCGACATTGGTTAGTTTGTGATGAGGGAGGGTTAGGCTAAGGTGTACAACTTAATTGTAAAAACTGTTTCAGTTAGCTTTTATTTAAAAACTACTCCCCTTTCTTCTTTAAAATTAAGATCCTTAATTATGAGTTTTTCTTCAAATGTATTTAACCCAGTGTCTCTTATGTAGAAGAAAAGCTAGAAAAAAACTGGGCCAAACACTATCTTGGTCACATTATATCATAAACCTCAACCCCTAGATCACTAACAGATTACTTTTCATCTGAGAAAAAAGTATCCAGCAATGCAGATAACTGGAATTTTCTCTGATGACTGTTCACTGGGTATCATAGCAGCCAAATTAGACCTAGTTTTATTATATAACAGAACGTGTAAATCAAAGATAACAGAAAAAGAATTTCATGCAGTATTGTAAGGTAGGAGCACAAAGTAATTAATTGAATAGGCTAGATTGATAAAAAACAAAATCATATTTCCTTTTTTGGTGAAGTGATAACAATATCATATGATACCAAGCAAATAGGAAATCAAATCCAGAAGGATGAACCCACAAAAGGTTTTAGCCATATATCTTACCGCCACGTAAACCACCATAAATAAAAATTAGGTCACCAACTGCGGCAGCTGCATGCCTACAGCGCCGAGTCAACTCAACCGCAGCATCTCCTCCCGCTGCATCAGCACTATATCTACCAGTTCTTGGACTGGTAACAACAGATTTTGTATCACACCAAACACCAGCAGCAGTGTCCAATACTACAAAGAGGAAAAAAAAATCCAAATATACAACTTCAATTGGAATAATACTAAATGTTGCCTCCAAGTAAAAATAAATTTAATTAATAGTCCATTTACACACAATCCATGTCATAGCAAAAAAAATGCAGAAAAGCAGCGAACAAACAAAAAATTTAAGCTGCACCATGATCAGCACCTGCAACACTTGATGAGTCTTCAACCATCCTTCCCCCTCCAAGAGCCCCACCAGAAACATGGAGCCTTGCATTGACAAATACCTATAATCATTAAACTAAGCATGATCCAATAATGTACACTCAACTAAGAAAAATGAGAATAAAATAAAAGAAACTGAATCAAACCGCTGCATGCTGATATCTTGATGATGGTGAGACACCTGGGGCAATGGCCCATTCCCAACGACCATCTCTGTGTTTAGCAAGTCCATATGCACTTGCCAATGGCTGCAAACATAAGTGGTAAAAAGATATTTTCAGCAAAGCATAGGAAGAAATAATTCACAACAGCCACAACAAATATCTATCATTGATTAGGAATACAATTAGAGTCAGTATGTATAAGGATAGACCCCAAAACAGAAAGAAACATTGATAGGGGCAATTCCCTGACATCATTTACATTAAATGATCACAAATATGAATACCATCTGTAAATATTTGATTTTTACAATCAAGTCTAGCATGCCTAAGTAAAGCTTCTGGAGCTTGAACACTCAATAACTCAAAAAGTACTCCAGTAGTTTTGGAATGTTTCTCATCATTTAAATTCCAAGATCAATATGAAAAACTTTCAATTAGTTATTAACAGATTTTGGTCTATTTTAAAATTAAATTAATTGTTTCTGAACTAAACAATTTAAAAAAAAAATTACTTATTGGATTTTCTTTTTTAAAAAAGCAGACAACTGTTTATTTTAAAATAAGCAACTTAGATTAAAACATAAAAAAGTAAAACAAATCTTCTATTGAAAACAACACTTATTTTAAAAAATAAGCACAAAACACACTCACCCTATATATAGGTAAGTCAGATACTACAAATAAAAAGCAGAAGTCTCATGAATCAACTGAATGAATAAATACTCACAACACTATTCGCATCCCTCCCTCCACAAAGTAGAAGAAGTCCATCGGAGCGTGCACTTGCAGTTGCATACCTAGTGATGATTAAATGGAAATATGAAAATCACATCATGGCAAGTTGCACTAAATGATAGCCAACTTGATAAATATATGGTAAGTCTACACTCCACATTATCCATTTGTTCATATGTTCTAAGGTAAGATATTTAAAGTATTCTGTTGTACTGCCAAAAAGAAAGCAATAATGAGATAACTTTGTTCAAGAAAACAGTAATATTAACGCTAGTCAAAACTACAAAACAAAGATGAGGTTCAATTCAAACCCTACTTGAGCTGCAGCTTAACTATAGTTTTCATACAGAAAACCAAGTAGAAAAGGAAGGCGAGCCTACTCTATAATCACATTGCTCACACAAGGAATAATGATCAAAGCAAACACAAAATAACATCACTATTCAACTTTACCAAGTAATAATAGTAACCAAATGACATTATTGGCACATCAAAAGACTACTGAATATCTCTGACAATTCAACTTTCTTTAATTTTTGCATAACGTCAAGTTTCATTTGAAGAAAAAAGAGTGAGGAGAAAATACCAAATCCAAGACTTGACATGAAAATATTTTAAAAATTGACTGAATATGAAACCATGTTAAAACCTAAATTAAATCCATAAAATCATCATTTAAATCAGTGAATATAAAGGAAAACTGGAATGAAGTGTTTGATTTAGCCACTCAACGTCTTCAGAACCTAATTCACGATGTCAAAGGGTAAAAAGTACACAAACCCTATCACATGTTTGTAAAAATCTAAAATCAATACGCAGATAAGGACAACAAAATATCAATCTAATAAGGTAGAATTCATGGAAGCAGAAGCATACATGCATGGAGGTGGGCCCTCTCCTTCTGGCTCTAACTTGCGCCATTCATAAGGCTTGGCAGCTGTGTCCAAGGCCCATACATCCGCCAAAGGTCTCTTTCCTGGAAAACAAAGACCAAGTAGTGTGACATCCAGTAAATTTTCAAACAAAAAATCAACCAAGGCACACATTGCAAAAGGGGTCGCATTTGAATAGTTACCATCATTGCCTCCAATTGCCATTAGATACCTCTGCCCAACCAAAGCCATTACATGTCCATAACGTGGCCCAGGTCCAGGGCCCTGAACAGATACTCTACATGAAAGTCAGAATCCGCTACATTAGATAAATAACATTGGGAACATTAAGTCAATAAGAGAAAAAACAGAGGTTATAATCCAAACCTATGCCAACGTGGCCACTGCTGAGTTAGATCAAGAACATGAAGGTCCTCAGCTGACAAACCAGCAGGACCAATGCCACCCTGCGTAACATGGCAATATTCCATTGTGAAGCAAGCTAATCATTTAAAAAAAGGAAATAAATTCTGCAACAATAAACAACGTTTCCTTGCTACCTGAATAACCACCATAGTTCCCACAGCAGTCGCCACATGTGCAGCCCTTGGAGTTGGAGACTCTCCAAAGGGATTTAACCTGCATGATATTTCCCTTATCAACCACTGATGCAAAGTATATAATCTATACAAGCACTAATTAAGTCTTAAAGGAGGTGAGAAAGAGTAACTTAGTTAAGCTCACCTAGACCATTTATTAGTCAAGACATCATAACAGTGGACATCAGCTGTGGCACCAGCTAAACCTGAAAAGAAAATAATATACCATGATAAATTTTAAGAAAACACACCATAACACACAATTGTTAAAGCTATAACAAATGCCATTTTATTTGCAGAAGAAGTTCCCCTAATCCAATCAATATGAACTCTTCTAAAAAGCGAAAAACATATAAATCTATATAAATTATGGTTTATCTTGAACCACTCCTCACAGGAAGATACGCAGATGTAGCCAATTCCTAAACAATCAAGAATGTTCGCCTGAAATCAAATAGTTACCAACATCAATATGCACCACAAATAATAAATATTGTTCTGAACATTTTCCGACTAGGATGACTAATTTTGAGATTTGGAACAAAAACCATTTTGGGCTTCAAAGGAACCAAAAAGGATATAGGGCATGGAAACATTAATCCATTATTATTTTCACAAACTACTACTTAATTAAAACATCATTTGAAATGTATACTTTTCACATCATAAACTTAAAGAGAATCATTCTTTCTAAAGTAAAAAATAGGGTTCATTGAGCTTCTCATACCTCTAAACCAAAGATGTTATTTCATGTGGTTTATCATATATGATAACCAAAAATGTTAAGTGCAAAAGGAAAGGTATCATTCCAAACTCATTGACAAATTCTTGGACCCCCACATAAGTGTTAAGCTTTTAGCCTTTTAGAAGAGTTGGCTCTTAGACAAGGTACAAAAGCTTCTACAGTTCTACTACCAAGTGGCCAGGATTGCAATCATTGCCAGTTGCAAAGACCATTCTTCAAAATGAAAGCAATTAATAAGGTAAATTGAGATTGTGCATTGTCTACAATTCAAAAGTGGGATTCTCTTGCTTATGGGGTGCTTTAGATATAAAATCATCCATAGCCTTTCACCCAAGAAAGCTTATGTGTTAGGAGTATTAGTTCTTGACATTCAGTTTTGAGTGAATGCCATTGCTATGAAGTGGAACAGAACAGGCACCAACAGAAGTGTTCCCTATGACACATTTCTCCTTGACTTGTTGTTCCCCTCAAAAATAGGAAAAAAGTACCGTTTATGGAAAGTAAATTTTTATGAAATTCTAAATGACAAAAACCATAAAATAGAAATTAAGTTGAGATATAAATAATTCAATTCATTCCAATTAATTGCATCGCACAAACACATTTTTTCAATTAATGAATAGAAAACAAAACAGAATAAACTAATGTAAGGTGGTCTGATCATGAGAGCAAAAGAACAACAAAGGCCAATAAGAAAAGTAAATCAAATTGAAGATAGTTCAATTAAAAGGGGTAAAGAAAACTCTAATCAGGTTTTACTTTAAAACACATCAAGAAGGCAAAAACTAACAATACCGAAACTCAATTCTAAGCCACAAAATTTGGATGAATGATACGTTAACATTATAACATATGCTAGGGAAAATGAAACCACGGTATAATAATTAAATACATACGTATGCCAGCATTTCCAGCAGATGAAGGAGTCCCTGAAGCCGCGGAATTTCCTTCAAGAGCAGTGGCACCGCCGAACAAAATCAGCCTCGGACCAATGTACCCCGACGTCCCCTCCTCTCCGACCGCCGCCACCGCCGTCAACGTGTGGCCACACCTCGGCCCCGGTCCGTCCTCCTTCTTCTCCAAAATTGCATTCACCACAGTGTAAGTTGGCGCCAGCCTGGGTCCGCCCACCGAACTCTGCGGAGCCGAAGCAGGCGCCGGAGATCCGACTCCGGACGACGGAGGCTCCGCTAGCTGCTCTCCCTCCGTCTCAGCCGGCGCTGTAGCAGCGGCAGCGTGGTTCTGCACAGCCGGATCGTGATCAGTCTCCGGCACCATCGAGGAATCGACATCCATTGCTTCAACCCTAAGATTTGAGCAATTTCGAAAGATCGGAGCTAAAATTCCGGCGAAATCAAATTCCGAACCAACATTTGGATTCGTTTCGCGGAAACCGAACGCCTCAAACGAACTCGCTAACTTCAATAACACGCACAACGAACAAATAAGCCAAAAAATCAATGTTCGCAATAGAGAAGCCTCAGCTGGGACGAAACGATTCTCCAATTCGAATGCGAAAATCTGAAACCCGAAAAATCCAGAAACAGTAACCAGCGAAAGGAAAATAGTCTCTAGGTTTTCTCTCTCTCTTCCGCGTTGAAAGTTGAAACTCAGAGAAAATAAAAGGAAAAAAAAAAAAAAGCGGTTGAAGAAGGAAACGGGAACGGAGACAATATCGAAGCCACAACACCAACAACGAAAAACACACACTCGCAGCTCCAAAGCCGAAAAAGGAAAATAATTAAAATAAATAAATTCAATATCACTTTCTTTGGGTTTGAGTTGAAGGTGTCGTGTCTTTCTCTCTCTAGAATTTATTTTATTGCCTTTTTGGTTTTTCTAATTTTACATAAAAATATATTTTTATTACGCATACTCTTTTTTATTTTAGAAAAGTAGAGAGGTGACCGAAATGAACCGGTTAGGACGTGTACGGAGGGGTAGCCGTGGCGGCGCCAGGTGACTGCGGAGAACGGGAAATGGGTAACCGGGGATTGCTTAAACCGTTTGTTTAGCGGCTCAGTTTGGAAAGCCCAATGTGAAAGCACGCGCTGGCTAAATTGCTATGCTGCTATTTATTGCTTTTCATTCTCTCTCATCTCTGTCATGTGTGTTGTTGAGAATGCTTCCTTTCCTTGTTATTATTATTAACCTGCACCTGAATTGATACCCTTTTTTACTCTCTTTTTTTTATATATATATCCACATGTTTGGATAGATTGTAGTCAGTAGTAAAATACACCATTCAACCAAAATGAACTTCTAAAATCAAATTTTGAATCTTGCCTGTTGCTATCGATAAATAATTAAAAAATGTATTCAAACTAACTAACTAAGGATTTATGACTAAATAAAAAATTGCAAGCAAGCAGAGAGAGAAACTCTACTATGCGGATGCATTTATTTTCTTTTAAATGAATCCATTTTAGAATGTCAAATATATATATTTAAAATTATTTATATGATAAATATTGAATATTTCTTATATTTAAAAATCGAATTTAAATTAAAATACTAAATTATGAATTGAAATATGGCTTCGCACATTTCCATTAATTAATAACAAGTATTAACTGTATTTTAGAGGACAGATATATGATTGTTCTTATAAATTTTTTAATTTCCTGATATTTATTAAATATATAAATTGTATCCTAGATTTATAATAAATCATGTAAATTATGATATATATATATATATATATATATATATATATTATTAATGATTTTTAAAAATATAGAAAATTACTTAAGAGATAGTGATGAAAATGGATATATTAAAGTGAATATGTAATAAAAAAATTATATGAAATATACATATGAAATATACATATAAAATATAATTACATATTGTTGTGAAAATACCATGATATATATATATATATATATATATATATATATATATATATATATATATATATTCTTGTGGTTTTCAATCAAAATTGTAGAGTATCTTCAATAATTTTACTACTTGAGTTGAAAAAACACTCTTTTCAAAAAAACATCCATCAGACTTAAGCGTGAATTTCGTTCTTTCATATTAACATTTATTTTCTCTATAAAAAAAAAGGGTTTCTTGGAAAAAAGTTTAAAACAATAAACATCTAAATCATAAATTATATATTTTCAATGAGATTTAATTGGAGTTATGTAGAGTTTCTTTTATTAAAATAAAATGTATATGCTGCTTAATAGGATGTGTAAAACTAAGATCATAGATTACATTTTTTACAGATTTTTTAAAGACTGAAAAATTCTACAAACAGTTAAATTCAGACAAATTTTAATTAATTATTTTTATAAAATTTGTGTGAATTTTTTTTTTGTCTAGATTTATAAATATCATTCTCGTGTGTAACATTTTTTTTGTTCGTTTAGACTTTTTTTCAACATAAACAGTGAGAACTCTTCTAATTCCAAACGTTTTTAAAATCCAAATAATTATCTTACGTTATTAGTGTGGATTAGTACTTTTTACAATCAATTTAAGAGTTATTATTATTATTATTATTATTATTATTATATCAACATAAATATGATTTATGTTTTCTCATTTGGCTTTTATATATTATGTTGTTTTATGAAGCAAAACATAGTGTGTTTTCGTTATTATAATAAAAATAACCAAGACAGGAAATACATAAAAGATAGGCTCAGATAAATTTCACCTTAAATTGTAAAAAATATTTGCTATTTTTTTCCAACATAAATAAAATTAACATAGACTTAATATAATTTCTCATAAATTACTGATACACTGTTTATACATGCTTTATCATTTTGAATGAATAGTAAAGTGACTCTTTTAAGTCATTTTTATTTTCCTTCTTCATTACAAGTTTATGTTTCTCTTATTTATTATTTTCTATTAGTTCTTTAAAAGTTTTTTTTCTCATTGCTTTAATTATGTATGTTAGTTATATGTGATTATATTATTATTTTATAATAATAAATTATTTATCGATTACAACAAGAAAATAAACAACGAAATTATTTATTATTTTCACAAAATATTAAATGCTAATTATATATTATATATTTAGTATAGTATTAATATATTAAATGTATTTATTGGATCAGATAATATATGATTGACTCAATTTAATTTAATATTTTATGGATTACATGAATTTTATACACTTAACCGATATTTAATTTTACTAAGTCCAATTTAACTATCAGAATAATTAAATAATATTAATATTTTTATCAATAAAAATATAAGTATTATTTAAATTAATTTAATAAATAATAAAATTTAAAAAATTATTTAAATAAAATTTTTGTAAATTTATTTATTCAAGTAAATTTGTTTATCATTCTTATGCAAAATTCAATAAGAAAAATTAAATTTGTTTGACATAATATAATTATTATTATTTTTTTATCTTTTAACTTATTTCTTAATGATTTGTTTATTTTTGTTTATTTAATGTTTATTTTTCTTTTATTTATTTTCTTTCCTCCTTTTGTTATTCTCTGGTTTCATCTTATCCTTCAATTAAAATTAATAGATTAAATTTTGATAAAATAATTTTTTTATTATTGTTGGAAAAAAATATTTAAATGATCTAAGATTACTATAATTTAATATATTATATTTAAAATTATATTTTATGATATATTTGAAATATTTATTATAATTAGTAAGAAAACAAATTAAATATTTATTTTAAATTAATTTTTTAATAATTTTTTTTTAATTATCTAATTTAACTAATTACGATGATTCAATCTAATTATAACTAGATTAAATTATTAAATAAAAATACATTTAACTTATAAATATTTGATATTTTTTATTAGATGAATAATTATTTCTTATTATAAAATAATTTTAAATTAACTACTTAATGTCAAAATAAATAAAATTATTTATTATTATTATAATTTTAAATAATTAGTTTATTTTTGTTAGTTTTATTGTTGATTTTAAAATATTTATTTAACTTAATTTTATGAAATTTTAACACAGTAGTGTAATTAAGAGAACAAGTGAGAGGATAGAGAAAAATAAGAGACTTAAGGTAGAAAAGAGAAAAAATAAAACTTTATATGATTAAAGAGAAGAAAAATTACATATACAATGATAAGTATAATAAATAAATTAATAGAGATTTTATTGAGTAATTTTTCTTTTAAAATATATTATTTATATGATTTATTTTATATTATTTAATTTACTTAATTATTAATTTAATTAAATAAATATTTATAATATTGAATTATTAAAAAATATAATTTTCTTTTAAATATTTATTTTTAAAATTTACTAAAAAAATATTTTTAAAAAATTATAGTCTAATTAACTCATCCCAATCTAAATTAAAATTAAGTTAGATCGATAAAAATAATACAAATATTGCTTAATAAAAAATATCTTCTATCACCTTTTCCATTAGATACTCATCTAAAATATTTTATGGATATTTTTTTATATTAGTTGATATCCACAAATAATCACAAATATTTGTTAATTTATTTTATTTATATTTTAAATAAAATTATTTAAAAAGTATTATTTTAAATATATATTTTATACTTTTTTATCATAAAACAAAATAAAACAATATTAATATAAATAAATAAAATTATTTTAAATAAGTTATAATACAAAATATAAATTTAAATAGTAATTTTAATTTCGTAAATTTTGATAAAAAATATAAATTTATATACTTTTTAAAATAACTATTCAATAGTTAATATTTTTTCATTAGTAATTTTATTTTAAAAAAAATAATAATGATTAGTGGCTAACTAGTATTTGTAAGTTAGATACTATAATATTCATATCCGATTTTTTTGAAATACTTATATAAATTATCTACGATATCCCTGACCCTAACTAATTTTATCGATGAATATTTGTGAGTGTGAATTTTTTTCTATAGGCGTATTATTATGACTAAAATACACTTTTTTGTAATTTTGCAAACTAATATATAACTAACAAAAATCATGTCACATTAAAAACACAAAGATACAAAGAGTTAATAATATTTTTATATGAAAACGTTTTAAAATTATAATTTTTTTTGTAATTTTGCAAACAAGTATATAACTAACAAAAATCATGTCACATTAAAAATTCATAATTTTAAAAAATCATTTGAAATGCCATTCAATACAGTCTCCTTAAATATTCTTAATTTTAAAAAATGATATAAAATTATATTCCAATATATTCTCATTAATTGCAAAAACATTATAATATTCAGTCCGTACAAACATAACAGTCTATTTTTAGTCCTTAAATTCTACGCACAAATTTTCGGTCATAATCCTTATTGATGGATACGTTAACATTAAAAATGAAAAAAAATGTAACTATTATTATTTTTTTAAACCCTCATAAATTATTTTCTATATGTTAATTTTTGATATTATAATATAAAAATTATTATATAGAAAATAAATTATAAGCTTTAAATAAAATATAATTATTTTAAATAAATATACTTTATTAAATGTAAATTATTTAACGAAAATGTAAAATATTGATGTAATTACCTTTTTTTAAATAATAAATATATTAATAAAATTATAAGCCTAAAAATATAATTATCTTAATTTGAAATTATTTAATTATAGTAAATAATATTTTCCATTTTTTGCATTGAACTAATTATAGTTAATTTAACATGAATAAAAAAAGAATGGTTAAAAATGTCAGAATTTTAAAGCTAATAAATTTTGTTCATAGGAACTAAAAATAGACGATATTTACATGGATTAAAACATTTAACTTATTTCTTATTAATTAAGATTTATTGAAAATTACAAAATTCCAAGTGACTTTCATTCCACAACTTTCATTTTCAACAAAATTCATCCATTAGATAAATGGTCAGAGAGAATACATTAGAAATTTCTTGTTAGCATTTATTATTTCTCAATAAAATCAGTAAGTCATCCAAACAACTGGTAAACAGTATCATTCAAAATTCAATAATAAGTAGTCTCGGCAACTTAAATATGAAACTTGTGAAGGGCTTCTTCAGGTAACAAAACCCTGAAAACAGCATAATGATGGTTTAAGCTTTTCTCACCTTGTAATCTGTGAACACTGCCCAAGGCACCGGCGTTAGGATTTGGAAAAGCATAAAATATTCGTCTAATTCTCTGATGGACAAGGGCCATTGCACACCTGACATACAGTTGAAAGCAAAATTAAGGTCAACATATCATAAAATAACCACTTAGGAAAAAGTTAACTAACGGCGAAATAGAATTAAAGAATTTCTTCTATTCTATGAATCAAGAAGGGGAATTCTCTATGCTATTCAAAAAGAAAGGAGAATAAGAATGCTAATGACAACCTCTTTTCCTGACATTCCCCTTATAGACTAGTAAACTAGGCCAATTTAGACTTCAAAGGAATTCAGCGAATACATACAAGTGATTCAAAAAGTTATAGAACTATCTGTCTATAAGCTTACATCGCGCATGGTTCCCAAACAAGATATATGTCATAACCAGTGCATAAGTACGGTCGTGTTGACGACTGATCAGAAGTCTGACCGCGAGGATTCAATTTATCATCATCCTCATCCTGAAACACCATAATGGAACACAAATAAAGTTTTTCAAAAAAATATATTCAACTAAATAATCAACAGATATAATCCAGGGAATACCATCGCATATCTATTTTATATTTCCAAATTGCCAACGTTGAATTAATAAATTTGGTATGAGAAACTTCGTCAGGTCTATAGATATGAACAACTAGTTATCATAGTTTTCACCCGGACAATTATTTGGAAAGTTGTTGCAAAAATAATAAAAGTAAATGCCTGGTTCTATCTACTTTGTCTTCTGCATATTGTATACTCTTAGAATTCGGGCTTAGAAAGACCTAACTTACAAAGAACCTAATCCCGCTCAGTTTCTGCTTAAAAAGGCGTAACTCAACATATACCTATCCAAACAATAGTGCAGATTCATATAGTCCAGGAACGCCATGATCTATTAAGGTCATAAGAAAACTCCATAATGTTTCCGACAGAATAAGTTGCATGAATTGAATTGAAACAAAGAAAGTCACACCAGGAGTTTAAGGTGTTTTTAATACTTTTCTTGGAGAGACATGGTTAACAATAAAAAACAGATGGGAAACTGCCACTGATTATCAAATTATACACGATCTTCCTTAAATAGATCTAATATCAGGTGTAGGTAAACTTACATTTCCACACACAGTTTTCTGTCTCTTTGCAGGAGAGTTAGTCCAAGAAGCGTTCTCACTATCCAATTCCTGGTAACTTGCTTCATTGTTCCCCTCACTGGGAAAAAGGTTTCTATCCCTGGCAGCAGATGATTCTATAGCTACAATGGAAGCATGTCGCAAAGGGTGGCAATAATATGAACTCTGAGAATGAGATTGTTGCTCAGCCCATTGCCGAGGATATAAACAAGCAACACCTGTATATGGTTGTTTAAGCTGATTGGAGGAACTGTTTGAATGCAATGGTTCATGGGAATCACATATACTAGAAATATTAAGATGGGAATTAAATGATTCTGGCTTTCCACAGTAGCTGTCGTCTTTGCAAGAGTTCCAAGCATAAATCTGATCACGTGCACTTGAAATGATTTGCTTAGTTGATGGATCCACTATCACTGCAGCATTGACTACCTAAAACATATCAACTTTAGTATGCTACAGCTGAATTTGAAATTTACCAGTAGGACACTTTAACCAAAGCTAGCCTTTACTAACTCAGCAAAGAATAAAGGGACCAAATTAAAAATAACTCTAGCTATTACACATCAAGTGAAAACTAATCAGAAGAAAAGCATTATTTCTTGTCCTCAAATTCATTGGAAAAGCAAAATTTTGCACATTTACCAAGCTGTTAGATGTTGCCAACTCAACAGCTGATTGCATAAACTTCAAAACTGTTTGTGAGTCCTCCTCGCTAAATCCAGTAATGCCATCAATGTTGCTGTAATTTGATTAAAAATGTCAAAGCTCTATTACCATATACGAGAAGGTTTTTTCTCATCCAGTGAGATTAATAAAATGTTGAGACTTGCGATATGCAATCTATGTTATCAACAAGATTTCGGCACCCCCTCCTAAAAGAAACAGCATGGGTAGATGTGTTTGGCAGATGTTTGATAATTATCAGAATTTTTCCATCCAACAATTACAAGACTAGAATGTCTCAATGCACCAAAGGGTCCTAAAAATCCAGCATGCTTACTCAAAAATTTACACAGTCCAAAATTTCAAAAATCCCCTTTGGCCCTGCCCTATTCAATGTGTAAACACTTCATTTTTACCCATAGTACACATAATACATCAGATCCTATAACTACAAGAAGTATAAAAAAATGTAAATAACCCTAGGCTATAAATGAAAAGTAAAGATATACAAAGGATGCTTGTGTCACTTTACAGTTTTCATATAGGAAGTGTTGTTAATTATAACTACTGCATACTGAACTAAATACACATAATTGCTAACTAGTTCAATCAGAAATAAAATCTTGTTCATTAATTGGGTGTTTGCATTTACGTTAAATTCCTTTCAAAACCCGCTTATGCACATTTATTGCCTAACAACATACAACCAAATATTCATAGTGTCTGACAATCATGCAAATCAGTTCATCAAGTTGCAGGATGTATTCAATGGAATTTTCATTTAATAAGGATTCGTAGTTCATCTAATAAAATATTCCATATATATATTAATTGACTTGCATATACTTAAACAAAACCAACACTTCGTGAATTTTATTTTAAGAAAGCAATGGCGTTCCAAACAATATAAATAAGAAAACAAATAAAGGGATAGTGAAATGAAACTTACTAGGTCCTTGGGTGATATGATGTTGGCCAAAATTTGCATTGTTCTTGCCACTCTTCTTTTGATGTTGCAACATATTTGCAGACCTAATGTCAATTAAATTCAAATTTAATGCACACTCTTACTTATGCAAACATAATAAGACCAAAAGTACTCAGAGTTCTAACCAAAATTAACCAAGATTTTGAAAATTAATCAATAATCTTAGTCTTCATTAATAGTGGACCCTCAAATGGATGACCATTTAACTAACAGTCCTAGACACTTGTACACGTCATTTCATCACCACAGAAAATTAAAACTCCACGAACATTTAGACCAATTATTTCCAACATTCAGGTTTTGTTGTTTCTTTTAAACTGATCATTTAGCCTCTGTTTTGTTTTACTCTATGGTAAGTGATTTTGAAGAAATTGATCTGTGATTGGATGACATTTCAAAAAGTGAGTTAAACAGAATTGGCTGTTCGGATGCTGAAGTAAAATTGCTTTTAGAGTGTAGATAATACTTTCTGGGTACTATCACACACAGCACCAGTATTTGATTCTGCCTAATGGAAAAGTTAAGAATTTTCACTTCACCAAAAATCAATTATACTCACCACAGAATTGAGTTTGGAAACTAACAAAATCAAAATAGAATTTGCATTTAACAAAATCTATTCTAACCACTCCAATCCAATTCTTATAAACTCGACTCATAAAACAAATTAATGAGCTTTGGAGGAGAAAAGGAAGAAAATATGTCCGTGTTTTAAGATTATGTTTTAACGAGAATGAACATATGGAATTATTTTCACGTAAAAGCTACTGTCCATTCACTTTGCTATAAATACCAGATAGCTTTAAAACTTCGTCACAAGCAAACCAAAACAAGACAGCTTTTCATGATTGTTTATAAATCAGAATCAATGTAAATTTGGAAATATATGATAAATTCATCATTTATATTTCATCTATCTCTTCCTGTGAGCAAACCATAATCTAAGAATGCATTAACTAGTGTAAAAAGAAATACTAAAACAAGTATAGACCCACTTTTGTGATAAAAGGACTCAACTGATAGGAACTGATCAACTCCTGAAGATGAGGTGGCATACTATCCAATTGATTGTTGCCTTCAGAGGCCAGGGACAAGATCACCAATAGCTGTATTTCTCCTGCCAAACATTCCCCATGTCACAAGCGAATTAGTGGTTTACTAGCCATAGCCCATGTTAACACAGAAAAAAGCATATAGCATTATATCTATACAATTAAGCATGTAAGGACTCTATAGATCAACTGTAACTAAAAAGTTATCATTTATGTTTTGAAGGAAGCAAATTAGATCTAGCTATATGTGCAAGTGTTAGAGATATGCTTTTGTAATATCTTTTCTTTTATTTCTGAACAACTGTTTGACACTTGTAGTTTGATACAACTGTTCTGCTACCCATTATAGTACTCCTCTGCTCATATATGTATATAGGTTCTGTAAGAGGTTTACTAATTTTTGTAACTTCCTTAATAATGAATCATATTTCTTGACAAATTTAATTTGGTATCAAAGCTAGTTGATCCTGTCTCTTGACTTCTGCCAAATCTCTCTTTTCTAATTCTATAGCTTCCATAAATCTTATTTTTTTTCTCCTCCTCCTCCAACTGATTCTTCTCTTTTTGTTCTTGCACCTATCACTTTCTCCCATCAAATAGAAGCTAGATGATAAAAATTTCTTGTTGTGGTGCCAACAAGTTGAACTTGTAATTAAGGCCCATTGTTTGCTTCACTTTGTAGTTGCTCCTAAAATTTTGTCCAAGTTTCTTACAGAACAGAATGTTAAACGTGGCAGTCCAGAGTATTTTCTTGGGAACATCAAGGTCAAATGCTTCTTGTGTGACTTCAGCCTTCTCTTTCTAGTGTTATCTTGTCATGTGTGCTTGAATGTATTCATTCATATTAAGTCTAGGACAAGATACATGCATATTTTCTTCATCAAACTAGGACAAAAACACAACAATTGCATTTTGAGTTAAGAAACTCATCTTTGGATAATCACACAATTACTAAATTTCTTTCTTATATTAAGTCTTTTGTTGACTCTCTTTGTCCGGTTAGAGATTTGGTTTCTTTAAAGGAACATTTGGATTCAATTCTTGAAGGTCTTCCTCAAAAATATAATTTTGTTATTGCTCTTATTGAGAGCAAAACTAATAATACGACTATTGAAGAAGTTGAAGGTTTAACTCTTGAACAAGAATTACATTTACAAAAGTTAAAACAATCAAAAGCTCCATCTACTCCTTCTACGCATGTTCTTGCCCAGCAATCAACTCCTTCTACACTATTCTTGAAGAGCATTTTCAACATAACAATACTAAACAAAATACCCAATTCCAGTACACTAGTTTTCATGGTGTTTGACATGGTCTTGGGGACCGCTTTGGTCATAATGGAAGAGATTGCAATGGTCGCAATGTTATGCAATGTCAAGTTTGCTTCAAATATGGTCATATTACTATGTTTTGTTACCACACGTTTAATTCTCAATTTCAATTATCTCATTTGTCTCTTTTCTCTATTACATCAACTATTAGTCCTAATTATTTTTCAACATCACATTGGCCTCAAGAGTCTCACAATCCTCATCAAATATACTCGTCCCACTCAGCCACAAGCTATGGCTACAAATATTGCACCTTCTCCATCTCAAACCTGGTTTCCAGAGGTGCCTCTTTTCATGTAACAAATTCAAGTCAAAATATACATTCTATACAACCCTTTATTACAACTTACACCAACAAAAAAATTCCATAAGAGTTTATGATTTTGGGTTTCTAGGGTTCGTAATCATAGGTATAGTAGGACTTATATTTCAAAACATGTTTTACAATCAAGAAACTTTTCTCTTTATTTCACTTAGTTGGGAGTGTTTGTGCATTACTATTTGGATTTAGCTTTTTACAGGTAAGAGGTACACTTTAGCAGGTAACATGCAGCCATGCAGAGTTACAACCATCGATAGTAGAAATTGTGATAAATATATAGGTACATAAATTATGAATTTGTTAAAATAAATGTCTAAAATATTATGAATTTGTTAAAAAAAAAAAAAGAAACCTGTAATTTTCCAATCAAGGATTATAAACCTAGAAGATACTTTTAATACTTTTTCCATAAAGCAGAATTCATAACTTCAGCAGAAGAAAACTCTAATAAAGAAGTTGTTTTTTTAAGTTGAAGCAAAACACTCTAATTTACATTTTCCTGAAAAAGAAAAAAAGGAAAAGACATTTTTTCCTTGAAAATATGGGTTGGAAAGGGGGATAAGAGTTCAAACAATGACATTCATTCACCTCCTTCAAGAACCTTCTTCTGAATTCGTTTCACATGACGGAGATCTTCAAGCGGTGCTATCTGATTCAAACGCCTAACAAGAAATTCAAGCAATTTCCATTGATCAGCTCACAAAGCTGAAGCAAAGACTTTAAGATTTTGGTGGGGAGCTAACCTCACAATTTGGTTTGCATGCTTAGGGTTGATGGCTGAAGCAAAAACACTCTCTGCACAGAAACATGCAAAATGACTGTTTCATTTCAGTGAATTCCAAATAAAGCAACCAAATCTCCAACTAATGGGTTTTGATAAAGTGACCAGTGGGTTGGTGGTGAAGGTCATATGGCTCCTTGTCCGGGATGTGCACAATCAAGCAGCTAGTCATCATTCCCTGCTCTTGTTCTGCTTCCCCTGGACCCTAAAGCTGAATAGAGTTGACAGTTAGGCTGGATCATCCGAGGCTGTCAAAATTCAGTCCAAATGGGGTTGGCTCAGTTTAGTTATGAGCCAAAATATATTTAACCTGGCTAGCTCACCATAGATGAATGGTAAAACAGGTTGGCCCACCATAATCAAAGAAAATAATAGAAAAAAGTAACAAATATAAGTACAAAAAAGATAGAAAACATAATGAAAAATATATAAAACCAATCAACCTGTAACCATCAACACAATGTTAGAAAATTTGAAAATTTGACAACATAAATATGAAGAAAGAAATGAAAGAACAAAATAATGGAATTTTCAGTATACTAGTAGAATAAAGTGTGCAATTTCGACAAAGTTTACAGAAGTTAACAAAGTTAATGTAATATAAATGTTCATGGAGCTGCATAGCCTTCAGTGATCTTTCTTTATGATTATATTTCAGACATGAAAGTGTCAGAGGTAACAAATGTCCATTTCTCAAAACTCAGTTGTCGCGATGTCTTCTTCCTTCTACTTGCAGTCAGTTTTTTTTGAAGTTTAGAACAACTATACCATATATAGTCAGTCAAAGAACAGTATCCAGTAGGATCACAAATAAAATGACAAGAATTATCCACCACAATCAATGCAATGTCAAATACATCAAGGATATTAAAAAGGTCAACTTGGTACCCTATACTCGGTCGGTTCAAGTAATCTTGTCGTGAGTTAGGAAGTTTCTTGATTCAATAGCAAATTTCACACTGCACACTACACAATACACATAAATTTCAAGTGAATGTCACCAAAACACAGTACAGCAAGAAATTCTCGTAGGTATATAGCACCAATCCGACCACGTTGTACTGCTTCTTAATCAGCAGCATTATTCCTAGCTACACGATCACACACTTAAAACGAATGATAACAGCGAGCAAAATGACATAAAACACAATAGACACGAACATAGGATAAGAGAAAGAACAAGCCTTTAGAACTATGAAGAAAAAAAAAAAAAAAACAGGCATTAACACGGTTTTGTATTTTTTTTTTTATTATTATTTTACGAACACGGACATTGCTTGTTATTCCTCGATTTGCTTTTGGTGGTAACAAAATTTTTGAAACAGTTGAAGAATCCTTCAAGTTCAGCATCCATGGATGAACAGTGAAAATTGAAAACCAATGAGAAGAGAAAATGTGTTGCGCAGGACATACCTTAAGTGTGCGTAACTATGACTTAGCCATCGAACGTAGCCGTCACCAACGCGAAGGAGGTTGTAGTGGTGCAGCGTCGAAATTGGGATGAAAAAAAAGTGAAACCGTGCGGGTAAAACGGAGGTGCAAAAATGGGCCGAAGCCGATAGTGGATTGGGCCAACATCCGGCCTAAAATTTCCTTCACCCCTTAATTACCTTTTTTACACCCAAATTTGGATTTTTCATTTTATTTTTAATTAATAATGCAATTTTTTTTATGAAAATCTAAAATGTGATATAAATAATTATTACAGTAGTTTTTCATTGATTCTCTACATTCCATTAAATAGATCTAAGTAAATGGGACCTTCGAGTTTAAAATTATATATATAAAAATTTTTATTTTTCCATAACACTATGTCAAGTACAAAGAGTTTGTATTTACTAATTTAAAATTGAATATTGAATATATTACATCTTCTCAAGTTAAGATTTGGCTCTTGAAAATATTGAATCTTTAAAAACAAAATACATCATGAAAAAACTATTTATCACAAACATTACAGGTTGAAATACATTGATATGTAACGAGTCTTAAATATGCCATTAAAAAATAAAATAAAACATTCAAACAATATAATATTAAAGTTAAGAATTTTCTTTTATAACCACCTCCACAAAGATTTAAAATTTATATCTTAAGGATCCTGGGATCCTCTTGTTCTCCAAATATGTTTTGAAGAAATATATTATCACTAACAAATTGTTATTGTTTAAAAATGTTAGTTTTGTTTTGATATATTTACTGTTACAAAATTAAGGTCATGATTATGATTATGGTCATAGAAGAAGTTATATGACACTTTCTTTTATTGTGTTGATTTAAATATATCATATTTATTAAGATATAAATAAATTATGAAAATTATAAATTAAAGTTTTACACTATAAAAAAAATATTTTTATAAAAAAATTGTTTTTTTTTATAATTACGATAAGAAAAAATATAAAAAAACGAGAGAATAAACGTCATTTATTGAAAACTTGAGCAAAGTGGATATTTATTGAAAAATTATAGTATCATTTCATTAAAAATATTAGAGAGGTAAAAATTTGAAGGAAAATACGCTTTAACTCTTGATTTATTTTTATTTTTTTAATTAAAAAGGTGTAATAAGAAGATTTTGGTGCAGTTGGAAGAATGAGTCCGACATCCTATCCTAAGGACCAATAATAGTTTGGGCATATCTAAGGCCCAATAACAATGTGGATGTCGTGTCACGTGCAAGTGCAATGATCGTGGAGTGTGGGGAAACGAAAGGGATAACAGAAGTTGAAAGCTAGGAACAGAATAAACACGACACCGTCGTTGGCTGTTGTTTTGCCAACGTTACTAAACAAAACGGTGCATTGTATTTACTATATAATATTTCTAACGTTTTCGGGTCATTGTGTTGGCCCAATTACCGTGTCTTTCAATTTAATGGTTGATGCGTGTTTGATGGGATGGGAGCTCAGAAGAGCATCCATGCTGGAAAAGGTCTAGACTTAAGATGCAAATTGCAAAAGCTTCAAATTTTTGTTTGTTCGTTTCATCATTTTGCATGACCTTCTTTTCTGATACGAGTGTTTTTCTCTTCGTTTGAGTGGTTTTACAGCAAAGATTGACGTCAATGTTGATTTTACTCACAAGCTATGCGCTTCTTTGATGCTCCCTACTCTCAGGTTTCCTCTTCCTCTACATTGAAAAAATTATTAATTTTTTTTCTTAATTTTGAACTCACAAATATCTCTCTGGTTTTTATTTTGCATTTTTTTCCCTAATAGGAGTTCTGGCAGTCCATTTTCACTGGTAATTGGGAGGTGAGAGTCTTAGCTTTGTCTTGTTTTGAGAGAGGAATCTTTTTGAATCTGAATGGCGAAATTTTGAAACTTGATGGCTTTGTGTTATGCTTTGGGAGGAGAGTGTTGGTTGGTTTTCTCGTAATTGTGTAATGAATAATTTAATTTCTTTCTGAACAGTCTTTGCATCAAACACCCAAATTTGTTTGGTGGAAGTGAGAAGCTCGATGTTTCGTGGGACAAAGGTCTATATGATTCAAATGTCTTAGTTGCGTATAGAAGGCCACGACCCGAATGGCTTGCACAGCAGTCTTTTGTATTACAGGTTGGTTTTTTATAATTATCATATCATATTTGATGATGATGATGATGATGATGATGTAAGGCCATGTTGTGCATTGAGCCTATTTTTAATGGGGTTCTTTGAATCATCTGGTTAAATCAAGAAGAAATTAAGAAGGTAAAGTAATTAAATTCTTTCATAACTTAAAATCAATTTTTGCCCCTCAATTTTTAGAAAAGTCAGATGAGAGAACTTATATAGTAGTTATTATGCATAAATTGATTTTAACATATTAGAGAAGCTCAATTCATTATATATATATTTTTTCTCATCGTAAGTGTTTAGGAAGAAGTTTATTTAGACCGTACCTTAATCTATATTACATTCTTAAATACCACTTGTTGTCTTTTTCCTCTTCCAGCATTCTCTTTCACCTGAGATTGGAATCCATGGTATCCCTGTAAACAATTTCTCCCGCTCAGGAAGTGGAGGAATAAATTTATCTCGATTGTCAGTGGGAATGGATCTGAAGGAACCTGCTAGTTCAAAATGGAGCAGCACAACCAGCATAAAGTTTGAGGTTCAGCTGGACGTTTCATGAAACTGTCATAATATTGAAGCCTTACTTGCTTTAGTTTCTTTGCTTTACGGTATTCTTTGATTTGGTTATGAGAAAATGGGAAACTAATACTATGATTTAAACAATCCTGCAGCATGTTCGTCCACTGAACGATGATGGTCGTGCTATAAGTAGAGATTTTGACGGATTTCCTTTGACTTGCAGGTAATTTAGAATTCTAGTATTCCAGTTCTCTAGATTTTGAACTGATTTTGATCATATGATGTTCATTGCTTGATGCAGTGGCAATCCACACGACAGTATGGTAGTGTTAAAGCAAGAGTCCCAATTTGCGAAGGCGAATGATAATAGCTTTTTTCATGTAATAAGATATATTATTATTCCAAGTTCCTTTTGATTATTGACTGTGAATAATTTAGAGTTGCAGACGCATGTATTTCTCTGACTGAATCCCTTTATTCATCAGTTCAATCTTCAAATAGAACAAGGTATTCCAGTTTTTTCCAAGTGGATAATCTTCAATCGATTTAAATTTGTTGCTTCAAAGGGAATCAAACTTGGACCAGCATTTCTCTTGACAAGGTTGGTATTTTTTGAAGTAGATCCCCCCCCCCCCCCATATTTAACATGATTGAGACATGAAAGAGAAAATATTATGTGCATTCTGAGAAACAACCATGTGGAACTGAGAATTAAATTATCACGCATTAGTGCTTGAAAAATTCGCTTTTTGTCTCCTCTTTAGTTGTTTGACAAACAGTTGCCTATCATCAATACCTTTCCTTGTGACAGACTAACAGGTGGCTCAATTGTTGGGGACATGGCTCCTTACCAAGCATTTTCTATTGGAGGGATTGGGAGTGTGAGAGGGTATGGAGAAGGAGCAGTTGGATCTGGGCGATCATGTCTGGTGGCTAATAGCGAACTGACACTCCCTTTGGTATGTGGTAGCATAATTAACAGCAGTCCTATAATGTAAAACCAGAAAATTTTATAACCTTCTATGCCTAAATATTTTTATGCTGCTAAACTGCACTTTCTTTGATCTTTAGTTAAAGTTTTGTATAGTCTGGTGCTTACTGTATCTAGGAAGCATCCCATATTCATCATCTTTGGCAAGAGCTGCTTTTACAACTTTAGTTATTGCAATGTTGAAATTCCCTGGTTTTAATGAATGTTTGGCACATGCGAAAAATATTTCCCCATCTAGTGAGAAGTTCACAGGATCATGCCGCATATTCACCATCTTCTCATATGTTTTGTTTGTGGCTCTGTGCTATGCTCATGGCACATTGGCTATAAACTGCTATTGTTAAGTGCCATCTCCTTATAAATTAACAACTTTTGTATTGTCATTTCTATTGAAATTTTCGTGTGCCCTTTTGGAACTGATTCTGTCCTGGGTATCAGAGTCAGCCCATTCTGCCTTCTCACTAAGCTTCCACTAGTTACAATTAGCGATGCCTTATATATCAATGTAATATTTAATATTCCTGAGATCTGTCATAGAAGTTATTCATGAACTAACCTCATCTCTTTCCTCTTAAAACTATTTCTGCTATACACACACAAGCAGGCAAACGGAATTAAAAGCATGCACTTTTCCTTTGTACTTTATTACATTTATTGTTGAACTTATACTAAACTAGATGATGTGTTTTTTTTAATGTAGAATAAGATGTTGGAGGGTGCCATTTTCTTGGATTGTGGAACAGACTTGCGGTCTGGTCACCTTGTACCAGGTTAGTAATATTCTGCTCAAATTACTCGCAAATTTACATTTCTGTGGTAGGAGTAGGACATTAATTCCTTCCCTTCCTCGTATTATTCTACGGCCTGTTTTTGTATCTAGTATGGACTTATGCAAGTCCATTCCGTGGATTTGGTGGAATATAAACAGAGCTAGGATTGGACAAAATAGAACTGTGCAAATGATTCTTATTATTTCTCTCCAGTGGTAGGAGGAAATAGTTAGGAATCACTTTTGTGGAAAAATAAAGGCTACAATCATGAGACACCAGAAGCTAGACCATAATATAGAGTGGCAAGTATTCCTCAGTATTTAGAGTTCCATTACTGAGTTTTATGATAAGTTTGGGTACTCCATATCCAAGCATTGGAAGTTGGAATAAACTGTCTTTTAAGTGGGATGGTTATATAAATTCTTAATCAAAGCAAGTGATCCAATATCTGTCATAAAATTCATGGTCGCTAGGATAAAATTTACAGTAAAATCTAGAGAAAAAAGTAAGAGGAAAAAATTAAATAAGTTTCTCAATAAACTAAAATCAGCTTATGCATGGTTTAATTTGTGGACTCTCTCACTATATATTTTTTTTTCCATAAGTTGTTTTTTTAACTTATGCACAATCTAACAGCTTAGGAACAAACTTATTTAATTTTTTTTCTTATTTTTTCTCTTTATAAAAAATACTTGTGAAAAAGATTATTCATAGAAAGCCTTTATTACCCTATTGGGTTTTCATTTACAGTTTTTCTTTTTCTTTTTCTGTGGAGCAAGTTGTCTAATTGTTAGAGCTTCTACTATTTTTAGGTTTTTATCTTAAATTGATCTACTTGAACGAGTTTGCTTTTTAGTCTTTATCCAGACCCATGTCAAATGTGCTCTCATGGTGTTGATTGCATAAACATTCAGGAAATCCAGCTTTGAGGCAGGGTAAACCAGGATCTGGGGTTGGATTGGGATATGGACTTCGATTTAAATCACAATTTGGTCATTTTCAAGTTGATTATGCTATTAATGCATTTCAGCAGAGAACTCTCTATTTTGGCCTCAGCAACCTTCCTTCATGAGGAGGTTGTAGATCTCTAGTGCATTCCTCTAGTACACAGGTCTTATGCAAGATGGAATGAAGCTAGAATATTTTTGCCTTCAATTCTAGGCTTCGTAATGTTTATGAACTGCATGCGTTCTGTCCTTTTCTAACTCCAGGGTATATTTTGCATGTGGAGAGGCAAATCACCATCATATTATTCTTTTTCTTACAGTAGTTGGAAATTTGGTGGCATTTTTGTAAGGCTTTTGGTTTTTGGTAAATGGGTGCAGACAGGTTGATTATTTATTGTAAATGGCTTTCATTGGAAAGGAAATAGGACATGAATAAAAAAGCACACAAACTTTATACAGGACTAAATTCTTTTGGTCAAAAAGAATGTTATAATGGCTGGTGAGAGAGTCCTACGCCCATATTTTCCACTTCAAACCATGAATTAGGAACTACTTAAGGGCTACCGGTGATATAAAACAGAATGCATGTTTGCCTTGTTCTGTTTTGAAAAAAGGCATTTGTTTTTATGAAGTTTTAGAAAGAGCTTCTGAAAAATTCAGAAGTTAAAACTAGTTCATGTACAAATAAAATATAAATTTACAATATAAGTGAGTTTTTATAAATTAGCTTATTTATATAAATTAATTAATATCCTATATCATGTTTATCTAACCAAAGGTTTTTTTTTTGTTGCACCTCTAAATTTTTTTCTTGCATCCCATTTCATTTAAAAGATAATTGTATTTTTATTAGTTTAATCTAACTACTTGGAAATATATTCGGGAATGGAAAATATGAATAAATAAAAAATATATATAATTTTTTAAAGTTTTTATTATAAAATTTGAATCGTAATTTTATTTTTTCGAAAATATCAAATTAAAAAACTTTCGAAAAGTTGAATTTGAAAATATATTATACACTTGTATCATTTACAAGTTGGGGATTATAACATGATCGTCCGAATTACTTCTAAAATATTGATTCTGTAAAGGTAAATGCAAAATACTTCTAAAAATTTAATTTCAGAAAGTTAATTTTTTCTAAAAGATGAAAAAGACCTACAAGTGGATCATGAACCCAAACGAAGATGCAGGAAATAACATCCTAACCCCATTTCATGAAACTGTCTTTTTAGAATACTCCAAACACATTTTCGACAAATGTGTGGATCCACAAAAAATAATGGAGCAAATGTTTTGGCCACTTTCTTCCATTTTCATAATTAAATTAAATTTTATTTTATTCTTTATTTTCATTTTTACAAGTTTTTATGTCTATGTTTTAAATGTTTAAATTTCTGATTTTTAAATCCTACTAAATTATTTTTATTATTATTTTTCTATTATTCTAAAAATTACAAGAAATAGGTAAGAACTTCTAATTATTTTTAATTTTTATCACGTAAAGCATTCCCAACAACATGATTTTTGGATGGAAATACGTTTCGGGGTTTGTGAATATAATTCCAAAGATTGGGAATATAGTTTTAAAAAATAAATAAATCTGGAAACATGTTCCGAATAATGGATTCCAAAATATATTTTTAGAGTTGATTATTTGGAAATACATTTAGGATTGGTGGGTTTGGAATATATCTTTGGAATGTGCAATCCGGAAGTGTATTTCGAATTAACCAATCTAAAATATATTTCTGAAAAATCAATTATAAAATATATTTTAGAACCCACTTTTTGAAACATGTTTTGAATTTTTTTTTCCATAATATATTTTGAATTGACTTTTTCAAAAGCAAACACCCCATCCGAAATGTATTTTTTTGCTTTTCTGGAAATACATTCCTGGAACTCAATCTGATTTTCACAAAATTATTTGAATAGAACAATCTGATTCTCAATGTGCAATTTCATTATAGGAACATGTAATAAATATATAATATTAATTATTATTCATCTAAGTGATAAAAACAATCTTGAATAGAGGTTGCACATGAAATCACATATGCAAATCTTTGGCAATGCAAAACTTTCACAGAAAAATAGAAGAAAGGGTAAGATTTGAAACAAAAATTATTCAAAAGGTATTTTAGTTATTTTACTTGGGGTATGAATTATGGGATGCAGGAAGAAAGTGTCTATGTTTTGAATAGAAATAACAAAACGAGTCAATACATCAATTTCAACCGTGAATCTCTAACCCATTAAAAATTTGGAACTATAACAAACCAGTCTTTCCATATTTTTTCATATGTATTATTTTTAAAAAATATATCTGAAATTATACAAATAATTTTTATTTATTTATTTATTAATATTTTTATTAGATAAATTTAAAAAATGACTATATTTATGTTATAAAATAATTAATTATAATCAATAATCTAAACTTAATTTATTAATATTTAAAATTTAAATTATAATATTATAATATATTTACACATGTTAATAAGATGATAAAAAAATTTGTAATATTTTTAATTATAATTTTAATATAGAAATACTTTTTAAATTGTTTTATTTCTATTTATTTATCATTTGCAAAGTTTAATATTATATTGATTAATTTTATCAATTATTTCTTTATATATCTTATATTTTCTAAATAATTACACATATATTTATTATGGTGGATATAAAGAGAAAGAGATAAAATAATAAATAATACAACTATTTTATTATAAAAAATTATTATACTTTCTAGATTTTGTAAAATAACCTTAAAAAATAATTAAAAAGAAAGAAAGTTATATTTATAAATATGTTTTTAGTCCCTATACTTTCATGTGAAATTGAAAATAGTTTTTCTATCATAGTTCACATAAAAATGACCCCTATATTTTTGAAATGATTGAAATAGGTCTATATTTTAAACTGCGTCAAGTATGATGACCTGTCTAACGAGAAATGGTATGACTCATTTATTATTTGACACGTGTAATTATTTAAAATAATAAAATTAAAAAGTGTCAAACTTTTAAAAGTCATTTAAATCCGCATTTATAACATTTAAAAGTCATTTTAAAATAAATTTAAACTTTTCTCGTCATTTATAAGCTATTTAAATCCAATTTTAAAGCATTTAAAAGTCATTTAAGAATGGATCTATGTTCAGATCATTCCTTTTGCATTTAAATACAATTCATCTTTAAAATGAATTAGATTTTACATTCTTTAAAAAACATACCTTAATTTTCAGAAATGAAAACCTTAGCTATGGTATACCACCGTCGCACACTGCCGTTGTACACCACTGTCGCACTTCCTGTTGAACCACAACGAATCGATGAAACCTTCAAACTTCAAAGTCACTTTGACTTCATATAACCTTTACAGAGAAAGGGGAAGAAAGAAAATACATTTGGTGTGTGACGAGAAAAAAAAGAAAAGAACGAAAAGTAACTGTGACGAGAAGAGAAGAGAGAATGAAAAGTGTTTATGACGAGAACCGAAGAACGTTGGTGCATGAGGAGAAAAGAAAAACTTCTATTTTTTAATTTTTTTTTAATAATAATCTCTCGTTGAATAATTTATATATATTTTTTTAATGAAGAGCTTCTTTTTTTTTAATAATTACATGTATCAAATAATGAATGAGTCATACTATCTCTCGTTAGATAAGTCACCATATATTTAACGTCGTCTAAAATAAGGACCTATTACAATAATTTCAAAAGTATAGAGATCCTTTTTATGTGAACTTTGATAGAGAGACTATTTTCAATTTCACATAAAAGTACAGAGACTAAAAACATACTTAACCCTTTTATATATATTAAATAGAAAAAGTAAAATAGGTCATTTCATTATGGTTTGTCCCATTTTTAGTTTGTCAAAAAGAGGACTAGAAGAGGTTGACTAGTCATAATTAGGATAAGTTACAAATCTCAATCTATCCCGTTAAAAAACAGATTAATGGGTTAGTCTGAAAATAATTTTTTTTATATAAATTTTTTATATGTATTTTTTAAAATATATTTTTAATTATATAAATATTTTTTAAGTTTTTATTTATTAATTAGTATTTTTATTAGATAAATTGAAAAAAATATTATATTTATATATTAAATAACTAATTATAATCAATAATTTAAATTTAATTAATTAGTTTTTATAATTTAAATTATAATATTATAATATATTTATATATCCCAATAATATAAAAAAATATATAATATTTTTAATTATAATATTTTTTAATTTTAATATACAAAGTAGTCCAACGAGTGAGTCCCGTTCCTCTCATCCTTATTCCGCCAAATTTACAAGATGAAATGAACCAAAACTAAATATGTGACTAAAATTATTAACTCACCCAACTATGGTCAAACCTAGTCCATTTTCCATCCCAAATCTCAAACATGCATTATCAACATTTCACATTCCAATCTAATGTTGTTTTATTCGTCCGACCAGAAAATGCCTCCATGCATTCTACTTCAGATTATTTTGTCAAGTTATTTAGTTTTGAAGTTTTTTTTTTTTTTTTACGGTAAACTAAAGCAAACGGCCAACACATTCTACGAAGATTGTTTTGTAATCAGTGTTACATTGTTTTACTTGGCCACCACCACTATTTGTTGTGTTTCATAAATCAAATTTGATGTTACATTGTTTTGCGTATGACATGACATCATTATTGTTTATCATTAGCGATGTATCAACCACTCTTTTGTATTAAGCACTTTATAAGTAGGAGGTCGCAGCCACACACAGGTAAGGTTGGTTGGAAGTTAGGAACTATTTTAGTTTAGAATCATAGATAAATGTTGATTGATTCGAGAAGGATTGTATTATGTTATATTAAATATGTGTCAAATGATGAATATGTTCAGGATCGTGATTCATTATTTAAGACTAGAGTTTATTTGGGTTTAGGGTTTATATTCAAAATCGTAAAATATATTAGTAACAATAAAATTATTGAATATTGGAAGAACTTTGACTATACCAATATACTAAATTGTTAACCCCGATCGTTATAACGCAAAACGTTGGATTGTTAAAAACCTTATAAATATAAATATAGACCTTTAGAATTGACAGATAATAAATATTGAGTATTCTA